TAGATGGTGGCCCAGGCCCTGTTTGGAAGACAAAACTTAGGGAGTGGACTTCAACCGATTACTTGTTTGTCCAGGTTCAGCCACAGCCGCAGCCGCAGCCCCCGCCCCAAGCCCAGTCTCAGCCACCATCATCCAACAAGCGTCCCAGCAATAGCACACCACCCCCCACACAGCTTAGCAAAATCAAGTACTCAGGGGGGCCCCAGATTGTCAAGAAGGAGCGACGGCAAAGCTCATCTCGCTTCAACCTCAGCAAAAACCGGGAGCTGCAGAAGCTTCCTGCCCTGAAAGGTACTTGCAAACAACCAGGGAAACAGTTGTCCTGGGCCTACGGGCACTGGGTGTTGGTGGAATGGGGGTTTGGAGGTATTTAGGGGGAAAGGGAATTGTAGAGAATGTGAGGGAGCAGGGGGTGCCAGGGAACAGGATGGTGGCAGGGTAGGGCAAGGGAGGGCCCTGGAAGGCAAATTAGGCATGCATTGAAGGACTGGGGAAGAGAACCTGACTGCTGGAGCTTTCCACAGACTCGCCAACTCAGGAGCGAGAGGAGCTGTTTATCCAGAAGCTGCGCCAGTGCTGTGTCCTCTTTGACTTCGTGTCAGACCCACTCAGTGACCTCAAATTCAAGGAGGTGAAGCGGGCAGGACTCAATGAGATGGTGGAGTATATCACCCATAGCCGTGATGTTGTCACTGAGGCCATTTACCCTGAGGCTGTCACCATGGTAGGCACAGGGAAAGGACACAGGGGGCAGGCACGGGGGACCCTTGGAGAAGCCTGGACTGAACTCTAACCTGGCCCTACCCTCAGTTTTCAGTGAACCTCTTCCGGACGCTGCCACCCTCATCGAATCCCACAGGGGCTGAGTTTGACCCAGAGGAAGATGAGCCCACCCTGGAAGCTGCCTGGCCACATCTCCAGGTACCAGGGCAAGGGGGGCAGGTTGGCCCTGGCTGTGGGGAATGCGGGCACTCTGAGGCCTGCAGCAAAGGGGTATCTCCCAGTCCTTGGGAATACCCCCCTCAGTGGATGCTCCTTTCCCTCTACAGCTCGTGTATGAGTTTTTCTTACGTTTCCTTGAGTCTCCTGACTTCCAGCCAAACATAGCCAAGAAGTACATTGACCAGAAGTTTGTCCTTGCTGTGAGTCCAAGGTCCCTGTCCTTCCCCCTTTCCATTCCATGAACTCCAGCCCCACAACCCTCCTTACCTGTGTCCCAGCGGATCTTTCCCCTATGCTGATTATATTGGGTTTCAGCCATGTCTGGTACAAATAGATTATAGGGGGTAAAAAAAAACCCTACTCTGCTTCCAGCAGTAATGGAAGGAAACAAAAAAGTAACACAGTACCTCTCTCCCCTCAGCAGGGTATGTGAACGTGCATGCCCTGATGTCACATTAGGAAGAGCAATATGATAGAATCACTGTGCTTTCCAGAGACTTGCCCTTACTGCCCCTCTTCTGAGACCCCTGGGCTTCCCCTGGAAGGACCTTATGTCACCCCAGCCCCTTCTGTGGCTGCTGCCTCACTTGCTTCCTTTCCTGCTCCCAGCTCCTGGACCTGTTTGACAGTGAGGATCCTCGAGAGCGGGACTTCCTTAAGACCATTTTACATCGCATCTATGGCAAGTTTTTGGGGCTCCGGGCTTATATTCGTAGGCAGATCAACCATATCTTCTACAGGTAAGGCCAGGAGCCCAGGCTTAGGAGCAAAGCAGACTCCTGCTGAGTTGGGGTTGGAGCAGGGAGAGCGGGGGACTGTGCCGAATGTTGGAGAGACATCAGGGATTGTCAGGAGAGCCCTTTTTCTTCCCTTAGGTTCATCTATGAGACAGAGCATCACAATGGGATTGCTGAGCTCCTGGAGATCCTGGGCAGGTAAGAGGTGGGGCTGGGGAAGATGCCTCAAAAATGTTGGCAGGATTAATGCACCAAACCTGCATGTGGCCCTTTGGTTCTGACAAACCTCCCTTAACTCTTAGCATCATCAATGGCTTTGCCCTGCCCCTTAAGGAAGAGCACAAGATGTTCCTCATCCGTGTCCTGCTTCCGCTTCACAAGGTCAAGTCCCTGAGTGTCTACCACCCTCAGGTGAGCTGCCTTCCTCCTGATGATCCCAACTCGGGCAGCAGAGAAAAGGGGGCAGGAAGCTATTCCAGCTGGGCTAGGAAGTGGGTGGGATAATTCCTTCCTTACACCTCCCCTTCCATCTGGGATCTGCTTCTGTCACCGACCTGAGGCCTTCTAGGACCTGCACCTCATCTCCTTTCTACCTCAAACTTTTGCAGTTGGCATACTGTGTGGTACAGTTCCTGGAGAAGGAGAGCAGTCTGACTGAGCCGGTAATTCATCTTCAGGGCCCCAAGGTCCACCCCTTCCTGTCATCAGCATCACTTGCCAGTCTGTACCTGTAAGTGGGTGCTCAGGAGGGCTGTCACCTGACAGGTAACATGGTTTCCTCTCTGAAGGAGAAGTGAAACCCATATATACACACCTAGAAAGCAGATCTAAGACAGAGAAACATGAACAGTTATCTGAGGTCACCCAACTTGTTCCCACCAGGATTGGGGAGAGTGGGCAGGAAAGCTTTCTGGAGACCAGGTGTAGAGAATTTTATCCCCATGGCCTCTCTTCTCACAGGTGATTGTGGGACTCCTCAAGTTTTGGCCCAAGACCCACAGCCCCAAGGAGGTGATGTTCTTGAATGAGCTTGAGGAGATTCTGGATGTCATCGAACCTTCAGAGTTCAGCAAAGTGATGGAGCCACTCTTCCGCCAGCTTGCCAAGTGTGTCTCTAGCCCCCATTTCCAGGTAAGACCCAAACTCAGCATATCCCAGCCCCAAGAGAGCAGTGCTTCCACTGAGTCCTGCCTCTCCCCACCAGGTGGCAGAGCGCGCTCTCTATTACTGGAACAATGAGTACATCATGAGCCTGATCAGTGACAATGCTGCCCGAGTCCTCCCCATCATGTTCCCTGCACTCTACAGGAACTCCAAGAGCCACTGGAACAAGTAAGGCATTGAGGTGGGGCTGGGTGGCAGGGATCTGGTTTTGGAACCTTAGAGAGTGTGGAAGAACTAAAGAGCCAGGGGTCTCACCTGGTCACTGAGCAAGTGGGGCCGGTATCCACTGCATAGTGATAGGACCTTGATGGACTGACCAGAGAGAAAAGATGCCCATGTGAGAAATCTCTATGATATCAAACAGCAGGGCAGCAGCCTGTATTCCATCACTCCTTGGGGTCTGCTATTCTGCAGGTCATTATCACAGCTTTGGAGACATAATTCTTTTTTTTTTTTTTTTTAATTTTATTATTGTG